TGCTGAACTGTGCCTAACTTAGATGGTTATAAGAGTATAAAACAGATAGTATGAATGCTCCATCTAGGTGTGCATACATACATTTCTATATGAATATGGCTTACATACATTCATGCCACATATCCTGAATATATACATATCTTCTAATTGAACTGATATGATTTCCATACATGAAGTACAACAGAAACAAGCATACAGTGAAAAAGAACATTCTTTAGTAGAATGAAAGGTAGACACTGAAGATGGCATTATAAAACTGTGAAAGCATAAAACTAAACTTCCACTCTTTAAGGTCAGTCATTGTGAAATAGCCACCTTCTCCTCAGTTTTAAAAATCTAAAACCTGCAGCTCTGTTAGTCAGACAAAACCAAACCCTAATTTTGAGTAATTTTATATTTACTGTTCTGAATGTAATCATGAAGTGTTTCAGCCCATAAGCATTCTAAACATGTTTATAACTTTATATTATAGTATTGGAGAAATAACATTACAAGAAAACTTCTATGACATGAGCACCTTATCCCAGAAAATTGTGGAAGCAGGAAAGAAATTAGAACAATCCATATTCAGAAATGTTATATTCTTTGAGGTCAATTTACTTACCCCTTCACTAGCATTATCCCCTGTGCTGGCCAGCATTTCTTGAAGGGCTCTGACAGATAGGGACTGTTCAAGGATGAAATTACAGATGCAAAGGTCTGGAGGGACATACTGTAAAATAAACAGTGCAAGAACAGATCAGCAGAGCAAGAGAAACAGGATGAAAAATGTGTTTGAACACGTGTATTTTAATTTTAAAATCCATACTTAATGTTTACTCCTTTATTTTTGAGATACATGTTTCCCTGGATGAAAATTTCATAACTTGACTGTGCAGCAATTTTACTTTTCCTTGAGCTGTATTCCTCATAGTAAAATGAACAATCTTCAGGCTCAAAAGCAAAAACTTTTTCTCCACATATTATTGCTTTCCTGTCTTTTGGAATTATACTGCGAACATTGTATTTGTTCTCTAATGTCATTGATAAAACAGAAGAGAAGGTATATGATCTTATTTGATGTGTATGGTTGACAGAATATATTTATAACTGTAACTAAATGGCAAAGGCTTAGAATCTTATGACATAATAACATGAACTATTTTAGATCTCAGTTGATGTTTTTGAAACATGAAAATTACATTCACTCAAAACCAGCAGACTACTGATTTTTTCAATTTCTTGCACTGCTATATCTAAAGAATGATGGGTTCAAGGGGAGGAAAAATCTCATTGGAAACCATTAATGTATATAAACATGTGGCAGGAAAATACAAAGACGACAGAACCAGACTCTATGCAATGATACTCAGTGAAAGGACAAGAGGAAATTGACACGAAGTGAAATACAGGACATTTTTTTAAACATTATGGAAAAGCCCCTTTTTTTACTGTGAGCATGGCAAACTAGAGAGGTTGTGGAGACTCCATCCTTGAAGATATTCAACTCTGACTTGACAGTGTCCTGAGCAATATATTCTGTCTGAACCTACTCTGAGCAGAGGGTTTAGACTTGATTATATCCACAGGTCCTCTTCAACATTAATGATTCAGTATTCTGTGATTTACGATATACATCATGACTACGAATGAGCTTTAAATATGCTCCTTTTTCTTTCTTAAATCAGTGTGACAAGAGGGAATAAAATTCTTGATAATGCTTAGTTTTAAGGTGGTGAAAAGTGAAAAAACACAACTAAGAGATTTCTAAACTTGCTGAAGTGAAGCCTTTATAGCTACCTATTCAAGTACAATCTCGGAATTCCCACACTTCGATTTCTTCTACACACTCTAATTACACTTTTGAGGTGTTTTCAAACATTTTACTTCTAGGCCAAAGACATAATTTAATTGCATATATTTAGAGATATAGCTATATAATTTTAACATATCATTTGAAGCAAAGTGAACTCTTGTGTAATTTTAAGCAGTAAGCTGTTCATCATTTCATTAACTGCAACAGGAATAACTTAAGCTGTAATACTTATCATTACTCATATCTCTTATGGGGTACTAATTTTTTAGCATTCATGAACTGCAACCTATGTACATACAGAGATAAACACATGCACACAGATTGTAACTGGAATTTTACTCTTTAATAGGTTACATTCAAGGCCTCTCATATAACCAGATACAGAAAGATGTCATTTCTCAGCAACATGAATTGCAAACAAAACAAGGTTAGAATTTGTGTTTCATATTTGTTATAGAAGTCTGGAAAGACTTATTCAGAACATCTTATTGCTACAAACATAAAAATCTACACAACATTAAGTAGTCTCAACTCCCCAATGAACCAGACAACAAAACATCTGAGTAATACTTCATCCATTATTTTACTGCAGGCAAACAAGTAACATCATGAGCGAAAAAACCAAATAAACAAAAACCAAAACAAACTAACAAACCAAAGAAAAAAAGCAGGTGTGTCATCTTGTGGCATCTTTCAGTTTATGCAGCATCCATTTCATTAAGATGTTTTGAGAATGTATGAAAATACACTGTCCTTGAAGTACATTTGAATTAAACAAAACTCACAAAGTTTATAAAGACTTTCTAATTTCAACATGTAACTTCAATTCAGAAACTAAACTGGAAGTTTATCTAGGAAGATATAACATAGCCATAAATATACTTTTAATCAACATCAGGAAACCTCTGACATTTCATCCCATTCCAAACTGAACTTGATATAATCAGCATGATCCAACACCTACCAATTAAACAGAAGTACTCACATCTATTTCGCTGGTCTTCTGCCACATAGGCTGCATTTTGATTTGAAAATTGTGACAGCCCTTACTTTATTGCTATATTAACTTAAGACACACTCTAAATTAATGTCCTCCTAGTCACAGTTTGTATAAAATTTGCATCTTAGGTGACTGCAATTAATTTTTCACTTCTTATTCTCCTTCATACCCTATGAAACACTAAGCTTTATTTAAGAATACAGACACTGAGAACTATGAAATTAATGATTTTTCTACCCATGAGTTAGAGCAGCTAAACTGTCTTGTAAAGTTGTTGTATTACACAATAAGCTAACGCATGCTATCATATACTCCCATTTCTCTAGCTGAATGACAAGAAATTCTTTTTTAAATTCCATTGAACTGTGAAATTTTCCCCTTCTTTAAGTTTCAAAGAACATTTTTAATTATTATTTTAGGAAATATACCTTCTTTTCCCTTGCTTTCCTTTTACCTACTTCTACCTTCTGACTTTTGCCACATACAACTCAGATAAGAACATTAATCATGAAGTTACATCTTTTCATTCTGGAAATAACAGATACACTGGGATTTCTTCCTATCTCGTTATGTTTTCCAGAATAACTTGAATGGGAAAGCATTTCTTTTATTGATTTAAGAATATTTAGCCAAAGTTTAATGAATGCAGAAGCTGTCACATGCACTGCAAATAGATTTGGGATGTCACAAACTGGTCAGCTGGAGAAGAGAAAGAATTTGAAAGCATCACTGTGATTTTCTGCTCTGAACCCCCAGATTTGCAGAGAGTATGACTTCCCTTCTCTTAGCAAGTTTCTTTTGATTATACCTCTAAAAACAATGCTAGATCCCTTAAGCACATCAACACTCAGGGAACTTAAGACTGTAACATCCACCTGTAAAGGGGGTGAGAATAGTTTCCCATTTTGTAAGCATATTTACAAGTTCAGTTATTGGACTTTGGCAACACAAGATATACCTCTACTTTCTATTAATATACAAGACTGCAGATCTTTCTGTGTGTGGCATGGCTTCATCAGTTGCAGGTTTCTCAATGATTTTATCATCGGCATAAATTGCATATGTTAATTTAAATGTGGTCTAAATTGTCAATAATACTCAACAGCATAGCAGTGAGAACATAACCGTGTAGGATTTTATTTGTAACACATCTATTCAATGATGATTTTGTAGGTCCACTATGTGTGCTATTTTGGTATTCTCTTTCTTATTTCATTAACAAAATTTTGTCCCAATGTATATGAAAGTAAGCATCATTGCTAAGGGTTGTTGATAAGAATTTTACTCTCCAATTATCCATGTCAATACTTCAACACTTGTTGTTTTTCAAACAGATGTATCTACATACCTTTTTCCAAAATTATTCTTATTCACAGTCAAGAATAGCAGTTCAAAAAGCTCCTTGTTAAACTTCTTTTTAAAACAGTTATATACAAGTTTTCTGAAGCTCTTAATTTTAATAAAACTTTAGAAATTTCTGTTGTATTGTCTGCTATTAAGATACTTAAAAATGTACAGCAGATCTATGGCATTCTACAGTAACTCATACCATTCCTCCTTTCCTCTTAATAAGATAAGCAACATGCTGTCTTACTAATTGAGATGGTTATCATCAGTAATAGACCACATTGCAACTGAGTTGTACATTAATGAAAAGTTCCCAATCACTGTTGAAGATTTAAAGACAATAGTTGAAGACATGTATGTGAAGACTAACTGGATTTACTTAAGTACATGCAAAGATTAGTGAAGTCCACCAGAGATAAATTATTTGAATGAACTCCTGGAATGATAAAAAATGTAAATTTAGAAGTAGCATAATTTTTCACCTTAGAGATGAACAAGGAATTCTCATACTGCATAAATAAACACTTCGGATGTAACATAGTCATAATACCCAGACTAAAAACAGAATTGTAGAATCAACCAGGTTGGAAGAGACCTCAAGGATCATTGAGTCCAACCCTACCGTGGTTACTAGACCATGGCACTAAGTGCCACATCCAGTCTCAATTTGAAACCCTCCAGGGATGGTGAATCCACCACCTCCCCAGGCAGTCCATTCCAATGCCTGATTACTCTTTCTGTAAAAATTCTCTTCCTCAAAGTCTGCTTTTTGGAAGCCCAGGGTAGAAGTTTTATTGATGGCCCTTCTGGCATCCCTCAGTATCAAAAACTCTATAATTTCATGGTCACTGTGCCCCACACAGCCTCCAACTACCACATCTCCCACCAGTCCTTCTCTGTTTGTGAACAGCAGGTCTAGCAGGGCCCCACCCCTGGTAGGCTCATCTACCAGCTGAAGTAGGAAATTATCCTCTATGCACTCAAGGAACCTCTTAGACTACCTTTTCTCTGCTGGCTGGATTAAACTTCCAGCAGACATCTGGCAGGTTAAAGTCACCCACAAGAACAAGGGCTGGTGATTTTGAGACCTCTGCCATTGAGACAAACACAGAATATGCCTGTGGTCAAAAAAAGCCAAAATTCTGCTGATAGCACCAATCCTTTAGCCACCTATTGATAAGGTGAGTTTTCCTACTCCACTCCTCATCCATCCCTGCGACTGCTGGAACTGTGTCAAACATCACCTGTGCTCCTGTCCCATTAACTAATCTACCCAATATCTTGAAATCCTTTTTAATTACCCTAATGCCTCTTTCGTTAATATCAGATCACCACTGCCAGCCTGGACTACTAGCAGTGGGTAGTAATCAAATTAGCTACTAGGAGGAGCTCAGGGAGTCTTCTACTGATAACCCTTACCTGAGCCCTGGGTAGGCAGCACTTCCCTGTGGAATGGGTCCAATTGGCATATAGGGCCCTCAGTTCCCTTCAGAAGGGAGTCACCTAATACAACTACCCTTCTTTTTTTCTTTATAGCTGTGGTTGTAATGGGTCTCAAAGATGAGGTGCAAGCTGGAGACTCACCAGATGCATCATCCTTTTGACTGTCTTCTGCCTGACTCTCTGGGTCCAGAGCCTCATAACCTGTTTTCAAGGGTAACTGGGGGGGTGATGGGGTCGGGAGGGGATTCTTTTACCTCTTCCATCAGGGACTTGTTTCCATTCCCCCCATCCACTGGCAGGGGGGTCAAGGCTTCACCATCGCCTGCTGACCTTCTTTTGGGCTCGCAGGATGCGCCTCCACCAGTCTATTTCCCTTTCACTCTCCCTAATGATTCTTAACCTCTCTACTTCTTCCTTGAGCTCTGCCACCAGGCACAGCAAATCATTCCCCTGCTCACACCGTACGCAGGTGTGACTCGCACTGTGCTCCCAGACTAACGCCAGACTGTGGAAAAAAAAGAAAGCAAAGCAATCGGAGGTGTCTGTGCCCTGCCCGCTCTGCTCGCAGCGCTCCCTGGGCGGGTTAAATCTCCCGCAAGGGGCACAGCCTGAACCCGCTCAGCTGTGCGAGCCTCCCTCGGGCAGCTGATCGCAGCTCCAAATAGGACCATATAGTAACATTTCCAGGCAAAAAATACAAAGACCTCCACTAAAAAAAAAAAAAAAAAAAAATCAGGAGAAATAAATTATCAGGAAGAAGAGAAAAGAAATAAATACGACTAAAGAAAAAGATGCAGAGAGAGCAAGAGGGAGGAGGTCATCCTCTGTTTGATTTATTCTTAACATTCTGCTCTAGGAGTTTTAAAGTTTCATCTTTTCTCTCCTTTCTCCTTTCCAGCTCTGCTTATGACTCTGGGATTTTTTATTTTTGATTCACATCTCTCTAGCTTCTTGTTTTTCCATTTGCCATTTGTAATCTTTCAAAACTTTTCAATTACATAATAATTCTGGTCCCTGTACTCTTAATTTTCTGACCGATCAACAAAGTGAGAAGCAACACTTTAACACCACTAACAGGTGAAAATGCTTCTAAAATTATCAATCCAGTATATCATGATATTTGTAACTATAGCAGTAATAGGAATATGGATTTTTAGTGAACTTAAACCTTAAGAAGAGTCTGGAGACTTAATCTTGAAAATATGAAGTATTTTAGTTATATGAATTATCTTAGCTACTTAAAGAATAGAGGCTTTTGACTGTTCACAGGTATGCCTCAGAGTATATTTAGAACCTCTAAGAAATCTCATGTTGCAGTGACAGAGAGAAAAGCATACATAAGGTGCATTTAGCATCACATTCAAGAAACCATAATTAAATGCATTTGTGGATAAGTAGGCTGATATTCACTGATCAGTTACATCACTTTAGAGTATCAGCTTCTTACTTTAGCTTCTGATGTTGGTTCCAAAAAGCACAGGCGGTTCCCAAGTCCCTCAGCTGCCAAGCAAAACTTCCTTTGTTCTTTGTGAATACTGGCAACACACTGAAGTACTACTTCATCATCCTGTCACAACACAAAGCACAAGAAAAAAAAGTAAATATTTGGCGGTTACATACACACTATAATGCTGAGAAATCCTGTAACAGAATCTGTTGAAAATTAACTCATTATACACATATAAGTAATATCATGTACATATGCACAGATTCTTTTGATATGTATGTAAACAGAGGTTTATCCATAGATTTATATTCAAGACTATACCAAAGTGACAAAGACTACATCTCATCTCCAAGGCTTTTACAAGTGTTGGGTCCTTCTGTTGCTTTAGCAGTGGTCTGCTGTAGTGCCATAAAACAAACTGTAAGCACATTCTTACTCAGTTTTACTCAGCAAATTATGTTCTATGCCCAAAGTAAAAACCTGTGACTGTGATTTTGCAAACAACAGAAACTAAATAGAAACAAATTTACTCTGTTAGCACAGTAAGCTATCAACACAATTCCTCTGAATGCACAATCTTACCTTCTAAGGTCTCATGTAATATTAGAAACAGCTAAGTACAACCAAAGAATCCAGAGGCATTTTTCAAGTAGAGAGTTCAAATAAGTCAAGATAGTTTTCTCCTCAAAAGACATATTCCAAGAATAAGGACACTCTGGAGTGATGTGAAACAGCCCTACTGTTTAGTTCTCCTAATTATTTTAAAAGCTCTTCTATAAATTGTTGCATAATACAATGCCAAACACATATGCACTTATGAAGTGCCAAGCCCTTATTCACTTCTTAGTATGTGACACTAAAGCTGATATAAGCAACCCAAAACAGATTTAGTATTTGACTATGTCAAAGGTATATATCAAATTAAAAATAATTTTATTTTCCCAAACTTGTCCACTAACTAAGGAAAATACCACCTGCAGACTAGTGAATAGAAGCACTTACTTTAATACAGCATGTAACTCTTCACCAAAAGACACTACCTTAGAAGTTTTTAAGGGGGTGGAAGCTGATAAAACAAGAGTGAATGATATGTCAGTGTGCCCTCCAGCTATAAAGTTATACTGGTGTCAATTATTATTATGAAAGCAGATACACAACAGCCGCCTGTACTGAACTCTGAGATCACTTGAACAATTAGGTTCTAAAAGCAGCACTGCTATTAACAGTCTCCTTATGCAACTGCAATACTATGACAGTAGCACTTCAAATAAAACATGGGAGTGACAAATTCATTTTCACCAAAGGAATGATGTGACACACCCTTTAAAAACAGAATTCAAAAGCAGGTTTTTAATTTGTGTGATTTTGCAAGACTGTGCAAGTTAGAGGGCTTTCTTTTAGGTGACCCTTCACTGCCTACTTACTACAACTAAAATGGACAACTGTTCTATGTATTTCAGACAAATCAGCAGTTACAGACAGTGTTTTTCTTATCTAGCTTTGCATAGCATTTTTAACTGTACAGAATGTTTGCTAATAATTCTAAGATGTATAGTCAAGAAGGAGGTAGACAGAATTAGTTAATCAATGCTAAACCAATATATTTTCTTTTTCCCCTGCTGCTTCTGTTTCCATTTCTGTAAAAAGCTCTCAAATCTTCAGCTTTCAAATTCATTAGTAAAAACATTTCTGCTTTTTACTCTTCAGTGTAATAAGTTGTAAAATACTAACAATATAATTAAGCACTCTTTACTACATCCCTCTCTTCATTAATTTAAAAAAATTGACATCAGAATCATATCTATTTGGTGAGGGAAAATCAGAACATATGTAAGATAAAAAGATAAAGATATTTAAAACATTCTTCATTGTCTGGTTCCTGTATCAGTCTTGGAGCATATATATTTCAGAGATTCAAAAAGAATAAAATACTAAAACATGAATTTATAAATAACATGATTTAGAATAAAATTGAGATTTGCCACTTAGCTTGCACTTAACAGTGGATTACATTAAATTACTTCAATATAGCTCAAATTGTAATTATTCTCCGTACAACATTAAAGTATTCACTACTCAACAGAGGCATGTACATAGTCTCTATTGTAATAAATAATTTTCTAAAATGCAAAATTATGCCTTGAAACTTTTTACAAGGTCATGTAGAGATAGGACAAAGGAGTAACAGTTTCAAACTGAAAGAGGGCAGGTTTTGATTAGATATACAGTGGAACAGGTTGTTCAGAAAAGCTGTGAATGCCCCATCCCTGAAAGTGTTCAAGGCCAGGTCGGATTGGGCCTTGAGCAGCCTGGTCTAGTGGAAGGTGTCCCCACTCACAGCAGGGGGGTTGCAACTAGATGATCTTTAAGATTCCTTCCAACCCAAACCTTTCTATGATTCTATGAACATACAAAAAAAATGACTTAAAATGAGTACATTACTCAAAAAAATGAACTGTTTTTTTTAAAAACCTCATGCATAAAAGGGCAAGAGTTTTGTGCATAATGAGTATTTTAATTTTCTACAATTCAGAAAAATAAGTATTTAGAAATTACACTGGCATCACAAAGACTTTATCAATCATTAATATTGATAATGTCTTAAGAAAGGACTGTAGGCAGAATTCCACATCGATGGTTTATGCTATTCCCCTACATTTCCAATGTACAATTTCATTCATGCTACAATATTTAACAAGCTATGTATTTGCTACATAGAATGAAAAATTTAGAATAAAGTTTCTAAAGAGTGGCAATAATAGTGTATTTCAGAATGTTTTGCACCAGAGTTTTAGAGTATATAGTTCAAGTTCAAGTAGACTGAGCATAAAAGCATTAGTAGAACCTATACAATCTACAAATAAGACAATTACTCACTGTTAAAATTACTCAGTATTATAATGTTCTTACAGAAGCAAGATCATTCTGGCTGAGCTCTGAAACTGCTTTTCTGGTCTGATTATGCTAATGAAAATGAGTTTTATGCAGTTGCTATACTATCATGAAAATGCAGATCATGTCCCAGCAGTATTTTGTTTTCTTGAGTCTTCTCTCACACAAGGTCTAAAATTTTTTCCTGGTAAATTCATTTTCTTCTTGCCTTAGTTTATAAATACACATGGGGCCACAGCCATATAACCTTTATCATCACTTCTCTTACACAGAATTACATCTATTTACTTGAATATACCTTTTTCTAGTATGACATGAAGAGGACTGCATGTCCAATGGGATGTGGAGATTTATATGATGAGTAGAGATGAGTTGTAAGTTAAGTTATATGCAGCCAATTGTCAAAGACAGCCAAAAGCAAAGAAAAAGAAAAACAAGCTACCCAACTTCCTTGAGATCTAGCTTGTTAACCAGGACTTCAACAAACTTAAATTTAAAATTAATAAGTGTTTTTAATGTAATTTTTCTCATCTAGCAGATCGGACATTCCTGTGTTTCGAAATTCAATTTGTTCTAGTCTATGGGAGTTTGAGATGCTTTGGGGCTTGGTTTTTTTGTTGCTGCTTTTTAAATAAAACAAATTTAAAGTGCATATAATCACAGGCTGGAAAGGACCTCCATAAGCAATGGCCCAACACTACACTAGAGAAGGGCATTCACACAAGAAACTGCTTTTGTTATTGTTCCTCAAAAAGTACTACCATAATAATATCTATTCACAAATACAGAGGAACAGCAATTTTAAACTTTTTTTCTGAATGAAGAGGGAGTGAAAGTTCTCCCTCTCTGTCCAGAAATCTTTTATCTGGTTAGAGTTCATCTGTCAGACCTTTAGGAAAAAGACACAGACAAAATAACTCCATCCCAAATTCTAAGAATGTTTATACATAGAAAAACATTGATATTCCTAAAATATATTTTTGATGGTCTGAAATCCTGCAGAATTATCAAGTGTCATGTAGCTAATGTGTCATAATACTGTCCACTGTCCATTCATGTATTCACACAAATGCATGACTTTTGCAAAAAGAAAAAAGACAGCTTTGGAAATTTGATTTCTTGTTTTGAATGTAGGTAAGCACATAACTGTTTGTACTACAAATATAAATTTATTTCTGTTGGCTTTGGCTAGAGATGAAGCTGCAACCTGAATTTACACTATATGGTAACCCTAACCCTAACCCTAACCCTAACCCTAGGCCCTGCGGTCTCTAACCCTAACCCTAACCCTAACCTAACATATGCTGAGAAACAAAGGTATTTCTGATTTTAAGAACAAACAAGCTATCAAAAATAGAACTTGCCTCTTCACAGAAGTATGTCTTTTGTAATATATTAAATATTTTAAAATTTCTTTAACTGAAAACTGTGATTCCTAGCGTTCAGCAATCCAGAATTAAGCACTACACTGCATAAATTTTTAACCACAGTTCAGTGATTCAATACCAAACAGCATTTAGTCTTGATGTTCAGACTGCCTTCCTCCTCAGGTTTCATAATATAAAGTGATGGTGAACTTAAACTGAGCCTCCTGTGATGGAGTAATAAGCCAAAACATAAGCAAAATTGATTTTTATTAATCAATTACTTGTCTTGCAGCAAAGGGGTTCAATGATCAAGATGAATCAATGCATTGTAGGCATGACTTTGCTCCTGCTCAGTTCACTAGTTTTTCAACACATCATTTGAGAAAAAAGAATTTCCAACAGTTAATGAAACTCCTTCTTCATTTATGTTGTATATATATCCCATAATTAAGAATTTTAGTCATTTATATCATACACATAAATCTGTAGAGAGGTTGTATTCAACAACATACACATTTCAATATGTTTCATATTACGAAACACACAACCACCAATACACTAAATATATACATGCAAATTCATAAAATCCTGTTTTTTATGGTAGAACAAGAAGGCATGCCATGTTGATGCTCTTTACAGGCCTGATTACTGTGAGACTGACACTTGCTGATTGTAGAACAGTGTTGCAAAGAAATGTACGAAGTAAAAATCCACAGCCACCTTTATTCTTTGAGAGACAACATCTTACTTACATATCTTACTCCATCACAAAGCACAGGGTATAAACAAACATATATCTTAATTACCATTTGAGCTCTAGCTGCAAACTTCTACAGGACAACATTTCTTTCAAATTTTCTG